ATTTTCTGCAGAACTGGGCAAGGGGGGTCACAAACCAATTAAGTGAACTAATTGTCTCCTGCAAACTCCACTCCCCCTTTGCTCCTCTTTTATTCCCTCACGTCCACCTGTGGCCTTCCTCCAAAGTCGACCCCTGTCCTTTAGCTGCTCCCTTCCTCTGGCCACTCTGCCCTTGCGCACACTGGGAACAGGCTCCAGCTGTTCATCTGCCTCACTGACGTCTGACTCCGAAGGCAGCTGATAACTGGTTTTTGTTGGGACCAGGATTTTGCTGCATGCTCTTGGGAAGCCTGAGTCAGAAGAGTTCTTGAGATTAAGTAGTTAGGATTACTTTTGTCTTACCATCCAGTGTGGTCACCAAAGCCTTCGCTTCGGACACCACGGCCTCTCCGTTGGCCAGGGAGGACTCGGCCAGTGCTTGTGCATCGTTCGTTCTCTGCCATAGCTGTGAAACAGAGGAAAGCAAAATTAGACTAAAAAAGTCCTAACTGTGAACATTCACTAAAGATGGCCGGTGATTACTTAACTTTGGCGCAGGCTTGACTTGAGGTGATGCACTAAGTCAAGACAACCCCTTGGTTTGTGGGTGAAGATAATGTCTGCGTGTGAACCCATGTGAACTCTGTGGTTATTATATGCACAGGGCAGTAGTTGGTCACCAGAGGGCAGACCAGAGTTACTTTGAAATACTTCTTTGCTGCCACCTAATGGCCATTTGCAGCATGACAGGGCTGATAGTGAGGCCTTTTAAAAGAGAGAGTCAATCAAATTTGTCTAGGATTGACCCCCAAGATCTGACCAGGAATGTCAGACATTCCTTCAGTCGAATGTTTCTTTGCATCCTGGTTTGTTGTGGCCAAATTTTGCTGCCAAACAAGGGAAAAATCAAGCCACGAAGCACTCACCTCTTCCAAGGGCCGAATCCTCTGCAGCATTTCCTTTAACCCAGTTTCTACTGCCAAGGTTTTGTTGGTTGTCAACCCCTGTTTCGTTTCAATCAGTTGCTGGATTTCCTCGGCTTCTTGGACCAGATTTCCAGCTTTCTCCACCAGAGGGCGCTGCAAGATCAGAGTCTGTGGATTTACTTAATCGATTAAAAAAAAAACCTACCTAGAATTGGAAAAATGAATTTATTACTAGAATTATGACATTTATAGATTGCTGGGGTACTTTTTTTTTGGGGGGGGGTGTTTCCATATGAGCCCCCAGAGGGTAGTTTGTGCTCCATAAATCAGCTGTTTTTAAGCACTAGCCTGCTCTCCATAGGTGACCAGAATCTGCCTACGGGCAAATGCACTATATTTTGTGCAATTAAGGAAACAATCTAGTGGAAAAGAGATGGGAAGATTTTCTACCTTATTTTTGCCTCATCCCACATCTAAATCAAGCTAGCTGTCCATCCCTGCATTACTTTAAAAAAAAGAAAAGAAACTTCCTTTTTCTTCCCCCAACTCTGGAAATTCAATAATTGATTTTTTTTTTTTTGGGGGGGGGGCAGGCTATTAATATCTCTATTTTTTATTTTATTTTATTTCCCAGGCTGCTTTGCACAGTGCACCATTCTAAAAAAAAACTTAGGAAAATGAAGAAATAAAGCAATTTCCTAAAAATTGCACCCAAAAGTACAGGGACCAACATAACATTGTTATGCAAAAGGTTTTCCTTTGCAGGAAAGATATATAGGAGGGTGTTTCTCCACTTTAGCAATTTTAACATGGGTGAACTTCAACTCCCAAAGTCCCTGAGCCAACCTGCTGGAAAATTTGGGGTGTTTGGCACACAGCATGCTGGAGAAATCTGAAGTCCACCCAGCTTAAAGCATGCTGGCTGGAGAATTCTGGGAAATGAAGTCCACCCATCTTAAAGCACGCTGGCTGGGGAATTCTTACACCGGCATTCTAGGGAATTCTTAAAGCTGAAATTGGAAAACACTGATTTAGAAGACCTGGAATCAAACTGAAAAAGCCATCAAGTGGATGAGGAACATTCAAAATATAATCCACTATGTGAGAGAAAACCTGTTTCCATGAAGAAGCGATGTAGGGAAAAAAACCTGTCCTGTTAGTAATGCTTACCAGCTCCAAAGTATCCGTCTGAGCCAGGGTTGTGTTGCTCTGATGGCCTGAAACCAGCTTCTCAGCATCTTCTATTTGCAAGACGAGGGTTTTTTGGGTCCTATTGATTTTCTCACCACTGCAAGGCAGACATTCTCAAATTATCAACTCATTTAAATGGTGGGATTGGTCTCTGTGGGACGTGACAGATATCCTTGCATTTAACCAAAATAAAAACTGGAAGGAAATGAGTTTTAGGATAGAAAAATTAGAGCTGAGTTTATCGTTTTTCAGGCAGGGCCTTGCCCATTTTATTTTAAAGTAGTTGGCTGGGGGATTCTGGGAGTTGAATTCTGCCCATCTTAAAATGTAAAGGGTGGTTGGGAGTCGTTGTGGCCCTCCAGCGGCCAGTGGAATTGGCGGCAGAGTCTGACAGTGGGGAGGCTGGGGAGGAACCTGGGCCAGTCCTGGAGTCTGAGGAAGGCTCGGACGAGGGCTCTCCGTCGGAGGCAGAGAGGGGGCCAGGGCCGTCTGGCAGTTCTCAACTGCCTTCGGAGCTAGACAGCAGTGAGGCAGAGGAACAGCTGGAGCCTGTTCCCAGTGTGCGCATGCAAACAGCAGAAAAGAACAGCTCAGAAATCAGGGTCGACTTGGGAGTAAAGCCACAGGTGATTGGCCCCTCCCAGAGGAAACAAAAGAGGAGTGAAATGGGAGGGGGCTTTTGCAGGAAACAATTTGGTTGGTCGGTCGTTAGATTCGTTTCAGGAGTGTGAGGATCTGTCCGTGAATCTCAGAGACTCTGTGCCCAGCCTTTCCTTCCGCAGCTCCTCATTTGGAAAATATTTACCTGGCAGCTTTCCAGGAGAGATAAGGTCTGTGGTCATAAATACTCCTTTGAAAGACTGTTTGCCAGGCCTAGGCTGAAGGTGAATGTGAGGAATCCACATTTGTTTAATAAAAGGGGTTCTGTCGGGACAAGGACTCCCCTCCTGCTTTTTGGGGAAGCCGAGGTCGGAACAGGATAATTTACCCCACGTCCCCCAATACTCAGAGAAGCTCTACCAATAAATGCCCCATTTGCCAGGCTTCACCTGTTCTTTTAGCTTTTAGCTTTGGCAACCTGAACAAACTCAATTTTTCTGGCCTTAATTTACTTTAGTCTAAGTTAATTTAAGTTGGCTTAATTAGAAAGTCCTTATGCAAATCTTGAAATGTGGCCGAGGCAGTCTTAGAGGAAACAGGTAGCGATGTTAAGCAGAAATGTTTAAATAGGCCTCTCTTCCTGTTTATCACATCAATTTTAAAAGCCCATCTGGGCATCTAGTGGCTGGGAGTTCCACAGTTTAACAAATGAAGCTCCAACACTCCGTTTTTGGTTTGGTTTGTCATGCAAGAGAGTGAGGAATGCATGTTTTTAGGGGCGGTAACGTCACCCTCATCTAATGTTTCTCATCCTGCTTAGGACGTTAAAAAACCCCCCAAAAGCGATTCCGTAGAAATGTCCCTGGCCGGAGACATTTTGAAAGCTGAAGCCAAGTAAGACTCTAAATGGGGTCTTCTTTCTAGACCACCAACCCAGAAGACCCATGGGACACAGCCGCCAGCATGTCACCATCCTGGACCCCCCAACTCACCTCTCTTCCATCTCTTGCCTGAACTCTTCCATCTTGCTGACATTTGCAACGTTTTGGAGAAGACGATAACTGGAGTGGGAGGCCTGGATGGCTCTTCTGGCCAGGCCTTCCACCAAGGATGCAATTTCAACATGGCTGCAGAGAGGGGCAAAAAAACCCCCCAACCCAGTGATTTTGGTGGTACACATCTGCTCTCATCTCTCTACACTCTGTTGCGACCCATTAGTGGCCACTGGAGCTGGCAGGAGAGTCGCAGAGTGAGGAGGTTGGGGAGGAAGATGGGCCAGTCCTGGAGTCTGGGGAAGGCTCTGATGATGAGGGCTCTGTGTCGGAGGCAGAGAGGGGGCCAAAACCATCTGACAGTTCTCAGCTGCCTTCAGAGTCAGACATCAGTGAGGCAGAGGAACAGCTGGGGCCTGTTCCCAGGGTGCGCACGGGCAGAGCTGCCAGACGAAGGGAACAGCTAAAGAACAGGGGTCGACCTGGGAGGAAAGCATGGGGCTTGCGAATGCATGCACGGGGGCAGGACACACATGGGGGGTCATGTGCACATGCACGAGTGGCGGGGCACACCGGGGGAGGGGGTGCGTGCACATTGCATCTTGGGTGCATGAATGCTTCCGGCACACGATGACAACAATGTTAGCGATCACTGAGTTAAACCATTCCAGATATTTAAATCATTCAATCGACTGTACAAGGATGGGGCGACTTGCATTATGACGGCATCTAAACTTACCTGCGGGCGAAGGTGCTGGATCTGATCACCTGGCGGCTCCAGTTTGTAGACTGATAAGAGATTTCAGAAGAAAATTCCTAGTAGGTGGAGAGAAAGAAAGAAAGAATGAAAGAAAGAAAGAAAAAGAGAGAGAGAGAGAGAGAGGGTGGTTTTTTTTGTTTTGTTTCTGCCTGAAGCGTGGGAGAACTGAGGATAGTGGGAATAAATATTTCACAATATGAAAAGTTCAGAAAATCCTCAAATGGAAACCAGGCAGCGAGTAATGGGTTAACATTTGTGAATTTTCTATGGGATTGGAGCATTTTAGTTCACCTTTCAGGTAAGGTAAGCATGCTTACCCTACAAACTCTCTGATCTATGATGGTTTATTCATTGCTTATTTATTACCAAATACATTAAAGTCTTCAAAACTCTGAGCTGTAGCAGTGGGAGGACAGCTGAGTGTTTTTTTAAAAAAAAATACTTGTTTTTAAAAGTCCACTTTTTCTGTTTAATATAATGGTTATTTGAGGGATTTTCAGGGCTCCCTTCCCCTCCCCGCATCTTATTATTCCCCTCCCTCCCTCCCTTATTATTATTTTGCTATTATAAGATTTTGTTTGTCATACTTTGAAGGGGCAGATGAGAGATTTTTAAAAGAATATGTTGTCAAACAGGTCGCCCTTGACTGTGAGCTGGTTGTTAAATGAATCACCTCTGATTTTGTGACCCTTTTAGCCACAGTTAAGTGATTTGCTTCAGTCATTAAGTGAATCATGTGGTTGTTAAATGAATCTGGGTTACTCCATTGACTTGTTTGTTGGAAGCTGATTGGAAAGGTTGCAGATGGTGATCATGTGTGACCCATCATAACAACATCAGGACATTGTATGCATCATAAAAACATCCATCAATCAGAATAGAGCTGGAAGGCACCTTAGAGGTCTTCTAGTCCATCCCCCTGCTCAAGTGACTGAAGCCCCTACAACCTCTGGTGGCAAGCTGTTCCACTGGTTAATTTTTTCTCAATTAACCAACATGTTGGTGGCCAACTGCCTAAATTTTGATCCCATAACTGTCAGCATGCTACACCGGTCATAACTGTGAGGATCAATTGTAAGAATAGCACTTTTTTTCAGTGCAATTGTAACTTTGAAGGTCACTAAACAAATATTTATGTACTCTATTGGGCAGCTACTTTCCCCCCCCCGCCACTGGGTGGCGCCAGTCAGCAAATTTTGAGTTGGAAAAACTAGGATTCCTCTATTATAAATGAGATCTTGAGAATAGAGGAAGATTCCTGGAATAAAACTTAATAAACAGCTTCTTTATTTGGGGCCAAAAATAAGGACGTGAACGTGGATGCATCCGCAAAGCCGTTGATTCAAGAGATTGTCCATAAACAACAAATAATAACGCGTAATTGGCGTGGGAAGCCAACTACAGTTGAATAAGTAAGTTGTGCTCATTTGCAACAGCCACCGAAAGATAAATGAGCAACTTACATGCTAATCGCTTTCATTTGGCACCGGGAGGCCACGGCACATAAATAAACAAGTGTGCACTCGTAATTTACAGCAGCTACCAGGAGCCAATTTCACAGGAGTAAACACATGCAAATGATTGACAATTGGCTCTGCAAGTCAATTGCAAGTAAACAAACAAACAAACATTTGCAATGGGCATTAGACAGACACTTGCAAAGGAGGCATGGATACACAGAGACACGGAGAAATAGATAGCAATATGTCAGATGGACGGACGGACGGACGGATGGATAGGAGGAGGAACGGAGGGACAGATAGATAGATAGATAGATAGATAGATAGATAGATAGATAGATAGATAGATAGATAGATAGATAGATAGATAGATAGATAGATAGATAGA